CCTTCTCTGGAGATATTCAAGACCCGCCTGGACAAGGTCCTGTGCAGGCTGCTGTGGGTGACCCTGCTTCGGCAGGGGGGGGGGGGGGGGGGGGCCCAGCCCCGCCGCAGTGCGGGCGCAGGACGAAGGTGTGGAAGCCTCTCTTCCTGCAACATGGGGCTGACCATCACCGTCCGACCCCCCCAAAGCCCCCCCAGGAGGGGTGGAGGTGTCCCGAGGTGTCCTTACCGTCGGAGGTGGTTGAGCACCGTCATGTTGGCGTACATGTAGTACAGGTAGTAGGAGTAGGGCGGGTTGTCCTCCTCCACCCAGTTGCCCGGCAAGGGGCTGTCCAGGTTGAAGATGTGATGCTCTGGTTTGGATTCATCATCCACGCTGTCGAAGCCGTCCACCTGCACAAGAGACAACCCCGGGGGTCGCCCATCCACCAGGAGATCTGCCCCAGTCCCCAAGCTGGGGGAGGTGCAGGTGTCACCAGTGTCCCCCGTCCTCCCCAGGAGCGGGACATGGTGCTCACGTGCTCCAGGAAGAGGTGCAGCTCCGGGTGTTGGGCAGGGTGGATGGTGGCCTCGTAGAGGGGCAGGAAGATGTTCTCCAGCATCTCCTGGAAGTTGGCCAACTGCCTCTTCGTCCGGTAGACATCGCTGCAGGGGGACGGACCCTGCTCAGAGCCAGCTGGTCCATCCCCCCCACCCCAGCCATCGGTGGGGTGCCCTTGGTCTCCCCACCCAGGATGCAGCCCCAGTTGAGGGTACCTGCTCCCCCCTTACTCACAAGAGCCGGGGCACCTGCACAAGCCAGCGGACGTTGTTGGAGTGGACGCGGTGGTTGACGGCCCAGCGGGCCAGCTTGTCCCACTCGTCCCGGGAGCGGCCGTAGATGGAGAGCCGCAGCTCGGCGTTTTGGTACTTGCTCTCCTCCAGGTCGGACATCACCTCCTGCCGGGGAGGGGCAAGTGTTGGTCCTCGGCCACCAGGAAGGGCGACGTGGGTGGCATTGCCACCGTGGGCACCGGAGGGAGGGAGATGTGGAGGGTCGCCCGTCAGAGCCGCTCACCTTGATGATGTGGGCGAAGTACTTCCCCGAGACGCGGTTGTCCGTCTTGATGAAGATCTCCCGCAGGATGGACTCGCCGATGGGGTTGTACTTGGCGTTGAACTTGTCGAAGCGGTGGAAGGTGTTGCGGTCCTGGCAGGGGGACGCAGATGTGAGCTGAGATGCCTCGCCACCCCAGAGCCCCCACAACACCCCTATCCAGAGCCCCCGGCACCCCCATCCCACCCCAGCACAACCCCTGGAGAAGATCCTCCAGCCCAGCCAGAGATGAGACAGGGGCCCTGCTCATCTCCAGGGTTTGGGGACATCCCCCGTACCGCATGGACATCCAGCGTGTCCACGCTCAGATCATAGGCGGTGAGGTTCATCGTCTCGAAGACCTCCTTGAGCGTCTGCTCCTTGCCCTTCTCCACGTGGACAATTTCATCCAGGTGCTTCTTCATGGCCCGCTTGATGAAGCGCAGGAGATGCTTCTGGTTCATGCAGGACGAGGCATGGATGTGGGTGTCCACCTGCACGGCCGGAGGTGACGCTCAGCCCCGAGGGCCTCCAAGTGCTCCCCGGTCAAGCCAGGACCCCCCCCACGAGCCGGCGGGTACCTTGCGGATATTGTAGAAGTCGCGGTGGGGCACCTTCTTCTGGGCTGGCAGCTCCTTCATCTCGTTGAGCAGCACGTGCATCTGGAACTTGGAGCTCAGGTACTGCAGCCGGCGGTAGCAGAAGGATTTGCTGCCCGAGGCGGGGAGGGGGCATCAGTTTGGGGGGGAGGAGGGAGAACATCCAGCCCCGAAAGGCTGGTGCCCACCAGGATGAAGGGACACGGCTCTGGACTCTTGGACACCCTTCCCTGTCATGGTGACCATGAGCAAGGACGGACGCATGGACGCAGGAGCTGCGCCAGCACCATGTGTCATCGCCACCGCCGTGTCCTCTGGTGCTGTCCCCAAGGTTCTGCCACCCCCAAGACACCCCCACGATGGGACTTCCCCCCCCAAGACAGCC